TGAGGCAATCATCCTGTGTCATTCCCTGGGAGTTATGGAAGCCCAGATTTCCTTGATGTTTGCAGTCAGCTCTTCTTTGTTGTTGGGTCTGGTGCTCCTCATTTTCCTCTTGAGAATGTCCCATAGATTCTCAATGGGGTTTAGGTCTTGTGAGTTGGCTGGCCAGTCAAGCACTGTGGCATGGACATCAAACCAGGTTTTGGTGCTTCTGGTGGCATGGACAGGGGCCATGTCCTGCTGGAAGATGAAATCTGCATCTCCATACAGATCTTTTGCATGAAGTCCTCTTAAACATTCTAGTAGACTGTTGCGGTGACCTTGGATTTAAGAAAGCATAGTTTACCAACACCTGCACCGGACATTGCACCTTAAATGATGATTGACTGTGGATATTTCACACTGGACCTCAAGCAGTATGGGTTCTGTTCCTCACCCTTCTTCCTCCAAAACCCTTGGACCTTGATTTCCGAATGAAAGGCACACTTTCATCGGAAAAGAGGACCGAGGAACCCAACAGTTGTAGCCCATCTCATGGATGTGTCTGAATGTTGTGCTTTTTGAAGCTGTGACTCCCGCCTCATTCCACTCTTTCTGGATCTCTGCCAGATTCTGGAATCTTCTCTGTTTGATAATCCGCTGAAAACCACGACCATCTCTTTTGCTGGTGTGTCTTCTCCTGCCACATTTTGCCCTTCCACTAGACTTTCCATTTATGTGCTTGGACACAGCACTCTGTGAACAGCCAGCCTCCTTAGCTATGAACTTTTGATGCTTACCCATCTTATGGAGCGTATCAATGATGGTCTTCTGGGCAGTTATGTCTGCAGTCTTCCCCATATTGAACTGAACTTAGACAATTGAACCAAACTGAAGCAATTTAAATGGCACCTGGAGAAACCTGTGCAGGTGCTTTGAGTTTAGTAGATGTTTAGTGTGTCACACTCAGTTTAAAACATTCATGCCCCGCAACATTTGGGCTGATTTCTCCACAGTATTCTAATTTTTTGAATTTCTGTTTTCGTGGGTTTCATGAGCTGGAAACCCAAATTATGTAAAAATAAACAAATAAATACTTGAAATCATTTAAAGTGTGGGCCCTGAATCCATCATCTATTAAAGATTAACTTTTTGAATGGAATTATGGAAGTTAAACAACTTTTCCATGATATTCTAATTTTTTGGAAAGGGTCTGTAAACATGAATCACTGGCAGAGTAGGTCATACCATTAAGATAAACCCTTACTGGCCACAGTTTTAAATGCCTTTCTCAGTGATCTGTCCTCAAAGCATTTTTTACAAGTAATAATTTAAATATAAAAATATTTCTGGATAGTCTAAAGATAAAAATGAGAGTGGAGAGTGTGAGGGGTGACTGACATGCAGTTTCTCTCAGCCAATGATTCAGGACAGATAAGGGAGGGCTGATATATATATATATATATATATATATATTTTTTGCCTTACGTACCCCTCTGTTTGTGAAAGGAAATGAGGTTCAAAGGTCAAGAGAATTCTGGTGGAGATGTGTAATGGAAGCTGTTGCACATGTGGGGCAGCTACGCCGCTGTTTAGCAAACCGTCACAGCACACTGGATAATGATATCTTGTTAAGGATAGTGTTTTCCTTCCACGAGCCTCTTTTCGTGACTCATATCCAAACATGGACACTTTCAGCATGGTGCTACAAGATAACATGGTTTAAATTTTCCACAGGAAAGCTCTTGTGTTTGGAGAGCAGTGTACAGACGAGTCTAATTTATTAGGCTGATGTTTAGTGTTCCTTGAACAGTATCATCTGGAGTTTGTCCTCATCAGATACAGTGCCAGTAAAGTATCTATAATACAGAGGGATAGGTTTCACAAAGACAAAACAACCACATTCAAATATAAACAAGAAAATTTCAGCTAAAACTGTTTTGGTCGCAGTTTATTAACGGATGTATATTCTTCTACACTCAAACGTTTACATTTAGGATGACATTACTGATTTCATGTAGCTGTTTTTAAAAAGTCCTTTAAAGCCTGGTTGAGACAGCTTTTTATGCTTTGTTTCAAACATTTTACAGATGAGCCTTATAAATAATCTGTTAATTATACTTAAATTAAACATATTCTGCAGAGTAGAAGTCTTCAAACTTTTATGATGTACTGGCAAACCTTCTTTTGTTATAAAAAATGGGTGACGCCATATCCCGCTTTGGTCTTGACAATGTAAAATATATTCTTAATAATTGGAAAAGGCCAAAGGGAGAAGGCCGAGTCAGACAGAAAGGGAGTATTGTGACTCCTATGTATAACTCAAAAGACCTCAGTGCGTTTCAACAATGGCGTCTTGCAGGAATTCTTTTCTGCAGCTGTGTTCTGCTAAAACGGACCCAGCCAGAGATTCTTTGCTGAGGCGCTCTCTGTGAGCTATTGGTGTTATTAATCGTCTGGAAATGCACGATTTTAAACGACAGTTCTTTACTAAACAGTTGGGAAAACTGTGACTAAAGCCATCCTGATTGAAAGTATGTTTCAAGTGTCACAGCAAAACTTGATACTTTCCTGTTAATAATAGATTTAACAATTTATTGTTGTGAGAACAACTTAACAAAACTGGTCACCTTATATTTAGTAGCTTTCACTTTCTAATCATGAAGAGGTGTGTTTGACTGAAGACAGTGGGCAGAATGCACTTTCACAAGTGTACGGTACTTGTCTTATACATGATCCGTCATAATCTTATTCTCAGTCTTCTTTAAATTCAAGATTTCCTTTGCTGTTACAAATGGAGCAGATAAGGCTCTGTAAAATAAATTACAAGTGTGAAACACCAAATGTGAAGAGGTGAACATTGTAAGTAATAATCCATGATGATTTTTAAGTAAAAACACATTTTAAAAACCAGTCAAAGGCAATTTCTTTGAAACTTTTTATATTTTGAAGACTTTGGAAGTGACTATTATGATGCAGAATGGTCATATTGTAAACACCCTTACTTGGCCAGTGGTCGGTTTCCTGTATAAAAGTAGTTGTCGTTATGTATATTTCACCAGCTTTATCACTGGAATTATCCTGCTGATCTATAAATGCCTAAAGGGCCTCACATCCTCATCCCTCCGACTTACTTCAACTTTATGTTCCTTCTCGGTCCCTGAGATCATCAGATCAGCTGCTTTTGGTTGTCCTGAAAACCAGGTTGAAGCTCAGAGGAGATTGTGCTTTTTCAGTCATGGCTCGTAAACTTTGAAACAATCTGCCCCCAGCATTAAACTAGCCTCCCCACTCCCTGTTTTTAAATCTCTTTTAAAAACCCATCTGCTTTCACTGCTTTTTTAACTCATTATGAGTTGTTTTAGTATTTTATTGTTCTGTTCTATATTTTATTCTGATACTTTAAAATTATTATTATTATTTTTTTCTTTTATTCTCTAACTTTGTCTTTTATTGTTCAATACTTTGGTACTTTGTTGTTTTTAAAATTCCTTTAGAAATAAATTTGACTTGACTTGATGTATATGCTTCAAAATGTTTGGCCTATTTTCTCACATGGTTCTTAAACTTAACCATAAATCAGACTGTAGCTACTCTAAAATTTGGGAAGAACACCACCAGATCTTTACATTGTGAAAAAAGACTTTCTGTCACTTTAACTTCACTTCTGCTTTTAGTGTAGCCAGCCACAGAGGTTTCATACAGGATTATGAAATACAGTAGTCCCTTGCTAATTCGCGGTTTGTTTATTGCGGATTTGCTCTATCGCTGTTTTTCAAAGCAAGATTGGACATGACACACAATCGGTTGACTGATGGATGAGCTGCACGATTGGCATGGACTTTTTATTTAAAATAAATTATATTAAATTATTTAGCACCTTTGTGCAGCCCAGAGCAGCAGAAAAAGCATCCTCCTGTAGCTTTGGGCAGCCCTTACTACAGGATAAACTTCCTCCTGCAGCTGAACAGCTGATCTGCAGAGTGGAGAAGTGGGCGTGGCCAAGAGCGCTTGCAGGTGGCTGAGAGCAGCGGAGGCACAGGGAGGGAAATCAAGACATTCTGTGCTCATTTAGAGCGTTTAGAGTTTAGAAACATTGTTTAGAATATTACAAATATTTTTCACTTATTGCAGGGCTTTAGGGTACGGATCCCTCGCGATAAACGAGGGACTGCTTTATTGCTAAAGACAATATTTTTGAAGACATTTGACTATTTGGTTTACTGGCACTCTACTTAACATTAAGACATGTCAAAACTTTGGAAATTACCTTAATATGTCACATCATGTACACTGTACTGTTTTGTATGTGTCAGCAAAGGAGTTGAATTTAAGCCCATCCTTCCTTTTCAACATGATGCTAACCCTTTCTTCTGTTTCTTTGCCCTTTCTTCCCACAGGAGATGACCTAGAGGCCTTACAGATACATTTGTGCTTTTGTCGCTCTAATCTGCATCCTCAGAGATCAGTGAGATCTGGAAGCACACTTGTTTCCGCGGTGAGTAATATCTACCTCAGCCAGCAGACGGGGGATAAACCAGGAAGCTGCTGGAGATTTTAGACCAACAGACTGAGCTATTAGATGGCTGCTTGCTCACTGCCTGCCGAGTCCGGCTTTGTGAAGAGGATTTGAGACGGACTGGATCTGTCTGCCCTTGGCCTCCCACTGCTCCTCTGCAAAAGAAAGAACAAAGCCACTTCCTCTAACTCTGGCATTTATTCACTTTTTTTTTTTAAATGTCATTTTCCCTTTTTGCTATCGACTAGTGTGTCATTTTCTGTGGATGCATTTTTTTTCAGCTTTTAAATGATTTTTCTACTTTTACTAGTGCAGACTGGTATAGAGTTGTATATGTAAATACATATGTGTATACTGTATGAAGATATATATTTTTTCCCATCTGAAGGAAAGTTGATGCACTTTAAAATTTTGCTGTGATACTTTTCCTCTTCTATTATGATAATTTAGCTTGAAGCTGGAAACGGTGAATCTGAGGTGTGTGTTTTGTTTTTTGGCTGGGCATGAAGTATCTGCAGCGGGGCTGCTTGTAAGCTTTTTAACTCAACCTTCCAATTTTTGGATCCCCCTCATTGTCACACTCACTTGTGTTGCCACTTCATTAGGAACACTGAGATGAACCTCTGGTAGGTGGACTTCGTAAATCGTGACTCAACTTGAACATTTTCAAAGCTGTCGGATTTAGTGTTTTTGTAAAAACGGAGAAGTGGACTTTGTGGAGGAAACAAATTGCAACAAACAGGAGCTTCCGGTGCTGTTGCACCACTTATGTATTGTTGTAGTGCACAGGAAAGTAAAATGGACTACAAGCGTCGCTTTTTGCTTGGCGGGTCCAAGCAGAAAGTGCAACAGCACCAGCAGTATCAGATGCCTGAGCTGAGCCGGACCCTGAGCGCGCCACTGGCTTCTTCTTGCTCTGCCTCTTCGCCTATGGGCTCTGGGGTGGGCCTTTCTGGCAGCTGCCACCCACCTCCTTCTGGAACCACGACTGCTGTCGCTGACATCCAACAAGGCATCTCCAAATATTTGGACGCTCTCAATGTGTTTTGTCGGGCTAGCGCCTTCCTCACAGACCTGTTCAGCAGCGTGTTCAGGAACTCTCACTATTCCAAAGCAGCTATGCAACTCAAGGACGTGCAGGAACACGTCATGGAGGCGGCCAGCAGGCTGACTGCAGCAATAAAGCCTGAGATTGCCAAGATGCTGATGGAGCTGAGTGCCGGGGCGGCAAACTTCAAAGACCAGAACGACTTCAGCCTGCAGGATGTTGAGGTAGGTGTTCCCACTAAACCCTACGCAATCCCATTTTACACATCAGCTAAAATCTTTGACATGTGCAACTGTCAAATACTGTTGATGTGAGTGTCTTACATCTGACATACACAAACGCACAAAACTAAAAGCAACTTTTTGCTCTCTCAGAAATTAACTAGGTTATGTACTTGGTAAAGCACCACGTACTTTCTCATTTTCAACCATCGCTGATTTGTCTTTTAGAAGTAGTGCTAAGATGCTTGCTGCCCACTGTCAGAGGGCTGGTTCTATGAATCAGTGTTTCCTGGCTCAAACACGGTCTTCACACCCAGTGTTAAGTTTGTGTCAATATCTGAGGGCGAGGTGTTAAAAACACTGAGGATACGAGAGAAGTTATCTTTTGTCACTTTGAATACCGCACCATATTTGTGTAACTTTGCATTTGCTCAAACAGAATGGGAAATATTGTAGCTGAGATAGTTTTCACAAGAGTTAATCTGATTTATGTATTACAAACATAACTAAAGACTCGGGTGTTACTTTGAACCCTTATTTATCCCTTCTGATTCTTTTGTATGCATTAAATTTTACACACCAGTAGTTGTAATAGTTGTCGTCTGATTTATGGTAGAATTTTTAAGCTTTTAATTTGCTGCTTTGAATTAAAGTGACACAAAACACTGAACAGATTGAACAAAACAATTGAACAGAGTGAGGTTGCCACAGTTTATTCTAAAAACACACAAGCACAGGAGTTATTTCACACTGAGAGGAGGTGCATTTAATTCAGTTCAGTTTATTTATATAGCGCCAAGTCACAACAGAAGTCATCTCAGGGCACTGTACAGAAACATTCATATACATAAAAATAAGTTAATAACGTGTTGTAAACTCAATCGTCCAGGCAGTTAACAACAAAAAGGGTTAAATTGTGTCATCTGGACCAGTTTCAAGTGAGAAATGTTTCGTCCCCCATCCAAAGGACAATGGGGGTAAGATGTCTGGATGGAGGATGAAACGTTTCTCATTTTAAGAAACTGGTCCAGATGACATGATTTACTGGTAACTCGTTTTGTTGTTTAACCTGTTTTGTTGTTATCTACCTGGATGATTGAGCTGTTGTTATCTACCTGGATGATTGAGCTTACAACCCTTTTTCTGAACCACTTTGGCCTTTGTTGTCCTCAGGCTGTTTCTGTGAGTAGCAAGTTGGCCATCTGACCTAAAACATTTGATTGTTGTACATGATGATTGATTGTTTTGGATGGGTGTGTTTTGCACGTGGTAAAAGCCTACTTTTGAGATTACAACAGGAGGTTGGCTTGAAACACAGCAGTCAGTGAAGGCTACCTATGGGACAGATCTGGTTGGCAGGCCGTAGACTGAGGAAGTCCTCTGGATGGGGGATGAAACGTTTCTCAATGTACGAAACTGGTCCAGATGACACAATTGAACCTTTTTTGTTGTAAGCTAATAACAGTAATTATCTAAGTAGCAGACTGCTTTGAGTTTAACTTCATCGCAGACTCTCATCTTGAGCAAGCATAAAGGCAACAATGGAAAAGGAAAAACTCCTTCATGAGGAAAAAACCTCCATCAGAATCAGGCTCAGGACAAACGTCCTATTTATTTAGTATTTAAAACGTCCTTTTAAGAGTACTGGTCTAAGCACAGAACCCTGAGGAACTCCATGACAAACTTTCGTGTGTGAAGAAGTTCCATTATTTAAATTTACAAATTGGAATGTATCAGATAAATATGATTTAAACCATTTTAGAGTTGTTCCTGTAATCCCAATGTCATTTACTAAATGTAATACAGGTGAACAATTCCAAGAATCAATTATAGTAATTCATATATCTCATTTTTTCCAACTAAATCTAGGTTATGTGCAATCCACCTAAAGCCCAGGTCACAGGGTTCATGAATGCAGACTGGATAAGTAATGTTGACACTGTCAGGTCTTTAACAGAGGGCCATAACAAATGACAACATGTGCCTGTGATGGGCCCCCAGAAAGAGCTGACCTCAGTGAGTCTAAATTAAAAACACTCTTCTTTTGCTTATCCTTGAACAAGTAATGATCGTATGGTTATATTTGTGTTGAATGTAAAGTTTGGTAATTTTTTTTTAGTGTTATTAGTAATTGGGGTTTTTAAGTTTCTGCTTTTTATACTACATTCATAATCAATGTCTGTAAAACTATTAGTGTAATATGATCTGTACGCCCCATCAAAGTTGCCTAAAGAACGATGCCTTGGTAACATGAAGAAGGTTCAATGTATGTAGAGCAACTAATAAGATGTGCTCCAGCCACATGCTTTTTATTATAAAAAACAAAACAAAAAAAAAACCAGATTTTTTTGCTCTGAATAGAGGATTTTTTTTTAAATCCAAAAACCTTGCTTCTTTATTCTAGGCACATAAATTGACTACAGCTTTTACAATGACACTTTCATCAAACCAGTTATTACAAAAATTATAGGACAGCATTTACCCAATTCCTAAAGGTGTCTGTGGGCTTGTGTGAAAGAAGATATTTCTTTAATATCCAGGCAAACATTGGCTGAGCTTTGGTCATGGATAGTTTTTCTTCTGCCTGTTGTGACAGTATGACTAAAACACAACACTAAGAAGCAAAAGTTATTGAGACTGTGAACTCCGTTGCTTCCACTCGATAAGGAATCGTTAAACAAGACTATTATGTTGCAACGAACGGGTATACATCAGCAGCCAAGGCTCGTGAGGGACTGCAGGACCTCTGTGGATGTGGCTAAGCCAAAAACAGGAAACACTTTTGCACCGCAGTCAGTAAATCTGACTCCCTGTGGTTGTGGATATGCACAGATAAATATTAGAGGAAGCCCAAGTCTGTGAAAGTTTAGACCACATGGCTTGGAACTTGCACTTGCTGTCTAGACCTGGGCACAATGGCACATTTTTTAAAGCATAAATGCAGACTCACTAAAGCTGGACTTTGCAGTAGCTCTATTAGTTGTATTAAACTCTCTGAAAAAACACTCCATTTAAATAATGTGTTAGAAAAGTGAAGCTCATTGTGCCACATGAGAGAAAACTGGATGTAAACAGCCCTGTTGGAGCATTCTTAAACTTTATAACCACCAAGCATTTCTGTTAGTTTTAAAGCGGTGTTTACAAAAAGTAAAGGTCAAACTTGACAGACTGCATAACTGTTTGGGTTTGTGATGAGTCATTTATAGCCACCGGTTTGTGTTTATTTCTGCAAGGTTTTTGAACAAAACAGTACATGTAGAGCAGACTTGTTTAGCCATAACAGAAGCTACTTTATGCTGTAATTGAGGATGTAGTGCGAGTTTGAATATAAAAGTTTTTTTTTTTCTGCGTTAAGGAATGTTGTTTGGCAACTGAACACACTGAGGTCTTCAAAAAGAACCAAATATATTTCTGAGTGAGGGGAGTTGTGGTATGTGAAGCTTTTTCCCCTATTTTCTTTTTCTCGTTTGGTTACAAATCCTCTACTACTTTCTTTGGTTTTTGCCCATTTTTTTATATTTCAAAAACAGTGTGGTTCTCTGGCTGCTTAAAGTGACTCAGCTGCTGAATATGTGTGGAAAAATCTCCTTGTTTTAGTTTTTATTTTATTATTTGTAGAAAGCTTACGTTTGAAGCACAGACCAAAAATCAGAGGTAAACAGAAGGAGGGAGGATCGTAGCTGCTGTAAGGACTCATAACAAGCACTCTGAATCCTGTGCACACTGTGGGAAACACAAAGTTTAACACCTTTGGTCTACAGCTGTTAAAAACAGGCTTATGTCAGATGGTGGATAATTTGAGGGCTTGGTCTGCAGTAGTGGGAGTGAGAGAGATGTTGTCATGGGTGATTTCTGTTGACTGTTTGGACTTGTCCATTGTGGATAAACATGACCAGCATAGTATACAATATTTATTAAACTCAATATTGACATAGGTCTGAAGTAAGGTGTGCTGGTTGGTATAGCATAAAATGAAGGCTGTTCAGCCTGAGGCAAAATATTTGTGGATGTGGGTGAAAATACAAACAGAACCTGTTGAGTTTTTGACCTGGAGGAGCTTTGGTATTGTATTATGCAAAATTACACAAACAATGATGTAAAATACACTTTGATTTATCATGGCAATAATACAGCAACATGCCTATTCACAATTTTTAAATGGGTGATGTTCTTTATCAGGGATGTTCGATGCAGCCTTTTGGTTTATATTTATTATTATTTTGAGGTTTTCCTACTAATTGTGACGGATCCCTGATGCCAACTGAGATAAATGATAGTCATGGCATTTCTGTACAGTAGTCCCTCGTTTATCACAGGGGATCCGTACCCTGAAGCCCCGCGATGAGTGAAACCCGCGAAGTAAGAATAGTAGTACAAGGAGTAAGTAGATGTTTATTTTTGTATATATATATATATATATATATATATATATATAAAGGCGATTTAAAACCTTCCCAAACTCTTGCAATATTCTAAACAATGTTTCTAAATGCTCTAAAAGAGCACAGAATGTCATGATGATTTCCCCCTCTCTGCCTCGGTGCTCTTTGCCACCTGTAGCCACGCCCACTTCTCCGCTCTGCATGGAGATCAGCTGATTAGCTACAGAAGGAAGCCTATCCTGCAGTGTTGGTTGCACAAAGGTGCAGCAGGTGCCAAATAATTTAAAATAATTTATTTTAAATAAAAATTCCATGCGGATCGTGTGGCTCATCCATCAATCAGCCAACTGTGTGTCATGCCCATTCATATTTTGAAAAACCGCGATGGAGCGAGTCCACGATAAACGAACCACAAAAGTGGCAAGGGACGACTGTAGTTTCTTCTCTCATCATGATGGTCCAAGCCACTTGGAAATAAAATAAAAATAATTATCGGTACCATTTTATGCACACGTGTAAAATTCATCAAATTTTTGCTAACTAAAATATACTCTCTATGGTGTTGTCTTGAAATTACCTTATCCACATGTTTTGATATTTTATTGCTGCTTTCAACCAGTT